CGCAAGTCCATACAGTTTGGTATGGAATCAACTACCTTGATTCATGCTAAGGCACCAGCAATTTTACCAACCCTCAGTACAAATGTCAACAGGGAAAAAGCAAGTAACATCTTAGTATTACTAAGAAAATAGTTTGGAACTCAAAGACCCCCTGAAGAGGGGATCCTCAGAGGTCCATGAAGTGTGCTTTGAGAACTGCCTCACTCAGCTGATTCCTATAGAACCAACATGCCAATTAAACATGAGTTATCTCAGCAAGAGTTAAGTTTCAAAATTATTCCCCATATGATCCAAGTAAGGCAGCATGGGCAAAGTGACAGGGTGGATTCTACCATATTCAGTTTGATTGCTAATCCCATGTCAGACATTAAAAAATATAAAGTCTGGGAGAATTTTTCCTACAGGTTTTGATTATGAAATATTTGGCAAAGGAAATCTAATTCAAACCAGGTGCTGGACTCTTGCTGAGCAGCAGTCGGTTAGAACACACTGCCAAAAGGACCCCTTTAGTGGGGAGGCCAGATGAGCTCATGCAAAGGCGTTTTTAGCAGCTTTTGCCCCCTAAATCCCATAAGCACAACACCACTCAATTTTCCACATTGTAAAGTAGCCACACTTTCTTTGGATCTTTTTCTCTTCCAAAGAAAGTTTATAGGAAAAGACTACAAAATGCACATCCTGCAAAATTCATAGCACCTTTAAAACCAATGGGTTTTTCTACCTGTATCATGTATCTGGCCTTAATCTTAAGAAATATGTAAAATAAAAATTTAAAAAATCAAATAAAAATCTTCTTCATTTATCACATATTTTACTCAAATTCCTCACCAGCGTGAAAATACCAACTATTAAGTGTACACACACACATATCTTGGTTTCTAAGAATCTGTAAATGTGCAAACCAATAAAAGATGTTAATTTATATTACCCTAACAACATTCTTTGATTTTCAAACTACAATTAACTCTTATTTTATTAGGGGCTACCTACTTTTGTGGATAATCAAAGTCCTTGATTTCTTTTCCTTCCCTATGTGTTTATACTATCTTCTTTTTTTCTTTGTCTCATCTACTCATAAGAATATGTTCCAAAGTATTAGAAGTAGAATTAATGAAAGTGAATACACAGCCCTTTCTCATTACTCATAAATCTCAACTCCTCTCTTTCCCCCACACCAAAAAGACATAAACATACCACTTTTTGGCCTTGCTGCTCTCTGTGACATACCTCCTGGTCTGGTTCCATCCTTTGGTTTCTCCCCGTGGCCAAACTCTACCCGCTACGGGAGGCAAAGGATGATTAAGCCCCATTTAGTTCTATCTTGCAGTGACTTCAACCAATTCCATCTCGCTGACATGGCCACATGGAAAAAATAAACCTCTCATCTGCCTGTCATCTTTGCTCCTAATCTACGGGTACTTCCTGAACAAGGAGTAAAGAATCCTTGCTGCAACATGAATTAAACTTATTAAGAAACAACATGTTCAGAGAGCTACAGGCTCCACCCATTTAATTTATGGCCAAGTTCAATTTGCATGTCTAGGTTGGTCCAAATAATACATTTGAATTCCTCACATTTAACATGAAACTTTCACTATTTATAAAAACTATTGGGTAGAGCCTAAGCTCCTCTTTTAACAATGGCCAAATCAATCCAATTATTTTTTACATAGAATTCCTCTTTGACAGATTTTCACTAAATAATAAATAATAATAATTATAATTAAAGCAGCTAACACTTACTTATGCACTTACAATGTGTCAGGTACCATTGTAGCATTTTACAAGTATTAACTCATCTGATACTCACACCCACCCTATCTCATTAGGATTCTCTAAACGAATTAAAATTGTACAGCAAAGAAAGACTAAGTAACATGCTGCGAATTACCTACTATAAGTGGCAAAATAGGGACTCAAATGCAGTCTATTAAGGATTGGTCTTAGTTTCTTCTATTAGATATTTGGGGTTTTTTGGGGGCGGGGATGTTTTAATTAAAACAGCTTTATTGAGATACAATTAGTGGATTTTAACATACTCAGAATTGTACAACCATCACCACATTCAATTTTAGCACACTTTCATTACCCCAAAAAGAAGTCCTATACTCATTTGTCATCACTGTCTATTTTTGTCACAATCCTTGGCAATGACCAACCTACCTTCTATTTCTATAGATTTGCCTATTCTGGACATTTGAAATAAACTAAATCATATAACATGTGGTCTTTTGTGTCTGGCTACTTTCACTTAGTATGTTTTCAAGGTTCATCCATGTTGCAGAGTATATCAGAACACATTCTTTTTTTTTTTTTTAAAGATTTTATTTATTTATTTGACAGAGAGAGAGATAGAGCAGGAACACAAGCAGAGGGAGTGGGAGAGGGAGAAGCAGGCTTCCCGCTGAGCAGGGAGCCTGATGCGGGGCTGGATCCCAGGACCCTGGGATCATGACCCGAGCCGAAGGCAGACGCTTAACGACTGAGCCACCCAGTCTCCCTCTTTTTTTTTTTTTTTAAAGTAAGCTCCATGCCCAGCAAGGAGCCCAACATGGGGCTTGAGCTCATGACCCTGAGATCAAGACCTGAGCTGAGATCAACAGTCAGATGCTTAACCAGTGAGCCACCCAGGTGTTCCTCATGTAAAAGTTTTTGTGTGGACATAGTTTTCATTTCTTTTGGGTATACAACCTAGGAGTGGAATTGCTAGGTCGTATGGTGACTCTATGTCTAGCCTTGTGAGGAACTGCCAGACTGTTTTCCACATGCACCATTTTACATTCCCATCAGCAGTGTAGGAGGGTTCCATTTTCTCCATTTCCTAGTCTACACTTGTTATTATCTGTCTTTTTAATTATAGCCATCCTTGTGGGTGGGAAGTGGTATCTCATCAATTTGCATTTCCTTCATGGCTAATTATGTTGAGCATCTTTTCATGTTGCTTATTGGCCATTTGTATATCTTCTTTAGACAAATGTTTTTCAAGATCCTTTCCCCATTTTTTAATTGGGTAATTTACTTTTTTATTATTGAGTTGTAACAGTTCTTTATATTTTCTAGATACCAGTCCCAAATTAGATAAATGATTTGCAAATATTTTCTCCTATTCTGTGGGTTGTCTTTTCACTTTCTTGATGGTGACATTTGAAGCATAAAAGTTTTTAATTTTAATGAAGTTCAATTTATTTATTTATTTTCTTGTTGCTTGTGCTTTTGGTGACCTATCCAAGAAGGTCTGCCTAAGCTAAGGTCACAAAGATATACTCCTGTATTTTCTCCTAAGAGTTTTATAGTTTCAGCTCTTAAATCTTATTTATATCTTTTCCTTATTTGCAAATTAATGCCACACTGATAGTAGACACAGAACCATCCTATTTCCTTCTTTAGTACCAAAGTGCTTTGGTGGTCTAGGCCCCGTCTAGTCATGGCCAGAAATTATTTGTTTATAGGATTCTACTTTCTAGTATTGAACAAAGGCTCATCTATGGGATGTCACCGATTTCTGCTCCATTTCTCCAGTGACACACAATTAAGGAAACGTCTAAGGATAAAGCTACCCTCCTTGCATTCTATGATCATATCTAGAGTATAAGCTTCTTCCATAAAATTTAAACTTAAGAGATCTCTTTTGTCATATTCATAAACTCTAAATCTTTGGGAAATACAAATTTAATTGTTGTAATTACAACTACTGAGGTATGTCATGTTTTCATAGGATTCCTGTCATGCTCCCAATGTACGTATGACTGAGAAACTATAATTTAAGTAATAGAATTGAACTCAATTAAAATTTATTGAGGGCCCACTATATGCAAAGCATTATGGGAGTGCTGAGATGACTAAGTCATAGTTCTTGACCTCAAAGAGGTTATAATTTAGTGGGGATTAAAAAAAAAAATCCAGAGGGGGGAAAAAACCCAAACCAAACCGGAGAACTGATGATTAAATTCAGTCTTTCTGCAGAACGCTTATATCCTCAAGGAATTAATTAATTCTTAGGCTCAACAAATCCTTTATTTCTATTGTGATCTAGGTGCTCCAGCTCTAAATTACAGAGAAATTCCTAAAAGCTATGTGAAAACTGTATTTTATAAAAAGAATGATATATGTAAGAGAACTTGGAAAGTTGAAGGAAATCCTATATAACGTGAAAGTCTTCCTGTAATTTAAAGAATACTCTTCCTCAAATGACTCTTTGCCAACTCAAAGCAGGAACCCCCATCACCATTCCTACCTCCACCACACCGTTCCCTGGAGGACATACCAGATGGATCCATCATGTAGCTTTTTTTACTACCAAATACTTTTCTGTGGAGCTCCTTTTTTAATGTATAGTTTTTGAGTTACTTCAAAACCTGATTATTTTTTTAAGCTCAAATAATGCTAAATGTGAATATGTTTTCTAGTTTCAGACTAGTTTCTAGTTACCTCTTAAGACATCTTGGCCCCCAAATCTGTATATCTCTATTCTTTTCCCTTCCAACTTTCCACATCTGGCATGCTAGAAACTTCCTGTTGTTTCAGGTCAAATCGATGTTTATTTGCTGGCATCATAATTATGTGCTCTTATACTAGAAAGAGAATTGAAGAATATTTTGGCTGAGTTGTGTGGTTTATCCACAGTACCACATTCTGGTTTAAGTGATTTCATCACTCAGTCAAAAGGCTACCCCAGGTTCAGTGGTTTTCTAGTCACAGTCAATAAAGCAAAGGAAAAAAAAACCCTACTATTTATCTTCATGACTAAGCAAGACTTGAAGCGAACAGTTATAGGAAGCTGTTTCAACAACTTAAAAAATGCTAATGACAGAAAACGTTTACTGAGCTGGGAGCTGCAAAATAATCAATAAGGTTGTGAAAGGAAAAGTTTTTGTCTCAACCATCTATATCTGCTACTTAAATGCTATTTTAGGTACCTAAGACAATAGAATTCACTTTAAAATTTTTTGGTAGAGTTAGGAGTAGGATAGCTATTTTATTTTTTTTGTCTTTAGACTTACCTTGTGGCAACAAGAGGGTAGCTATGACACGGTGATGCCCAGGCATCCCTTGTCCATGGCATACAGTCATAAAGCAGTAAATCCTTCTCAGTCACAGCCATGAGGACAGGTCTCCATTGTTGTCTTCCACCATCTAGTTTTGCCTGTTACAATGGTAAAATCCAGAAAGCAGAGCTAACTATAATGATATGTATCTGTAAAAGTCCCTTCAGCGATGGTCTAACGTGGGTCTCCATTTTGTTCCCTGAACCTAACAGGCTTGAAGAACAGGAAACATCCCATCAGGTTCCTTTCCACTGGCTGGGATTCTCCAACGGGAGGTGTGAGGTGGTCTGTGTAAGCTGGAAAAGCTCTCTCTGAGTGAGAGACATTATCTAGTGATAGGACTCTGTTTTTAGAGTTCCCCATTAACTTTAGGAAGTTTCTGTTTCTGTTTCAAATGTACCATTGCATTTACCTGCATAAAGTTCAGTTACCTCTGTGAGGATTAAAAAATGTAGGAAAACAACCACTATTTATCCATATTGTCAAGAATCCAAAGCCAAAAAGCAAAAGACTATGCTGAACAAAATCCCTGGTTTATCAAAACATTTCCCCCCATGAAATGACAGACAGGGAATGCTTAACAATAGCGTTATTTTTACACAGATCCTAAAACAAAAACAAAAAAACACAGATGCTTCAGGGGCGCCTGGGTGGCTTAGTCGTTAAGCGTCTGCCTTCCGCTCAGGTCACGGTCCCAGGGTCCTGGGATGGAGCCCCACATTAGGCTCCCTGCTCGGCGGGAAGCCTACTTCTCCCTCTCCCACTCCCCCTACTTGTGTTCCCTCTCTCACTGTGTCTCTGTCACATAAATAAGTAAAATCATTAAAAAAAAAAAAAAAACACAGATGCTTCAGCTATCACTGATGGCTTCAAGGAGAAATCAAAATGATGAATCACTTGTCTCTTATAGAGTTGTCTTTAAAGCTACTTCTTATTTTCTCTTCCTTAATGACTTCTGAAGGTCATTTGGACATGTCAGAGCCCCTTAAGAATGTATCTATAATCTGAAAAGTGGCCTGAGTGGTTCGGTTCTGTGTTATAACATCTACTACTAGAACTTTCCCCTCATAGTTAGAGCCACAAACTGACTCCAGGAGTTGGAAATGAATTCTAGCCAGTGAAGTGACCCATGTTCTTGCGTATGCTGAAAGCACAAAATATACGACCCTACTCTGGGATTCCAGCAACGTATTGTAGAAATAATTTTACTTTTCTTATCAGTGAACCCAAGTTTTCTAAGATTCTATATTTAGTCTCTGGGTAACTCTATAATACCCGGAGGGAAAATATCAGTTCCAAAGAGGTTCTCTTGGATTCTTACATTTTTGGGTCACAGAAAACCCAAAGGGATTTCTAAGTCTTTGTCTCTGAGATTGTTATGAATAATATTTCTAAAGGGAAGATATGGTAGTCTTCCCTTATCCACAGTTTTGCTGTTCATGATTTCAGTAACCCACAGTCAACCGTAGTCCTGAAGCAGATGATCCTCCTGCTGACGTGTGGTCAGAAGGTCAACTGTAGCCTAATGCTGTCACATTGCCTGAGCCATTCACCTCACTTCATCTCACATCATCATAAAAATCACTAATATAGTACAATAAGATATTTGAAAGAGAAAGTGACCACATTTATATAATGTTTATTACAGTAAATTGTTATAATTGTTCTATTTTATTGTTAGCCGTTGTTACTGTTGTTAATCTCTTACTGTGCCTGATTTATAAATTAAATTTTATCGCATGTATGTATGAGTAGGAAAAAACAGTATATATAACATTCGGTACTATCTGTGGTTTCAGGCATCAACTGGGGGTCTTGAAACATATCCTCCATGCATAAGGGGACTACTATAATGTAAAATCTATCTTCCCAAGAGGTTAAAATGGCAATCTGACTTGTTTTTTCTTTTCTTAAAGATAGGGAGAGAGGGAGGAGGGGGAGGGGAAAGATAGAGGGAATGGGAGAGAGAGAATCCTAAGCAGGCTCCATGCCCAGCTTGGAGCCCAATGCAGGGCTCAGTCTCACAACCCTGAGATCATGAAATGAGCCAAAATCAAGAGTCAGATGCTTAACTGACTGAGCCACCCAGGCGCCGAGGCAATCTGACTTTTTAAAATTTATTTTTCCCCTAAGTTATAAGAGATTTTGAAGGCTAGATCAGAGTATATGCATTTGGAAAACCTAAATTAAATGTATTTCTTCCCAAAGAAGATATTTTAGGCAATAAAGGAAAACTGCTAATACCAAGAGAAGCAATATCTAATTTCAAGATAGAGAACTTTTTTTTCAACTAACAATTTTTTTTTAAGATTTTATTTATTTATTTGAGAGAGAGAGACACAGCGAGAGAGGGGAGAGGGAGAAGCAGGCTTCCCACTGAGCAGGGAGCCCGATGCGGGGCTCGATCCCAGGACCCTGGGATCATGACCTGAGCCAAAGGCAGATGCTTCACTAACTGAGCCACCCAGGTGCCCCTCAACTAACAATTTTTAAAAGCGTTTATTCTTCGGCCCTTTTGAGTCTTTAGTTTTTAGAGAATTTCTTTCCCCTCTTCTATTTACCATTGCTGGAAAATGAAATGTCAATTTAAGTCATTCTGTTTGTGTATTTGCCTTAAGTTATAAGGATACTCTTTGCTTTCAGTGGAGTCAAAATGTTGCCTGCTATATATAGCATGTATTTTTGGTTGTGCTATCAGTATAGCTTTGGGGCTCCACTATTAAGGCTCTGGCCAGGGAAAGAAGGGCACTAATGTTAGGGTTCTGGTTGGCTTGTGTTTCAACACCCACACATGCACACACCTGGCCAAACAACAGCCTTGTCCAAATTTTACTTTTTAATAAATAGAGTTGAATAACACTAAAGATGAAAAACTACTGATAATTACTATTCATTCCCTAAATCCTAATCCTATAAATCAGGTGATATTCTGTTATTTTGTTATTTTGAGAGAAAACAGAGAGCAAAAACTAAATAAGCCATTCTGCTAATGCTGATTTAGTGTATATGTTCCTAATTTGAGTATTTACACATTTGGAGAATTTCAAGGAACAAATTAGGAACTGTTGAAACAGAGTTTTCTTTAGCTGTCTTGGCTTTTCTAATCAATATTCAACTGCCTAAAAATACTGGTTTTATAGGTAATATATGTTGCCCCATTTGGAGAACTTAAAGAAAATTCTCTTTAAAGAATATAACCAACTAAAAAGTAAACTATCAGTTACGTAAAAATCAGTATCAGTGAAGAGACAGAAGTCCATGTGCAGAGAAGAGATTATCTATTGTTTACCAAATATCTGTAGTGTAGGTTTTCCCTGTTTTAAGCAAACTCAATTTTTAACAATGTGAAAAAACAAAAAAGATAAATTAAGGAGAGATCATTTAAAGTTAAATAAATGATCCTTCCTAAATTTATCTCTGCAAAATGACTATCTTTTTTTTTTTCTTTTTTAGAGAAAGAGAGAGAGAGAGAGAGAGAGAAAGCATGAGCTTGAGCATGGGGAGAAGGGCAGAAAGAGAATCCTAAACAGGCTCCACACCAAGTGCGGAGTCCAACACCCAACGCCTGACGCGAGCTAATCCCAGGACCCTGAAATCATGACCTGAGCCAAATGAGCCACCCAGGTGCCCCACAACTATCTTTTCTAAGTATAACTGAAACAACTTCATTTATATGGAAGATTTTCAGTAAATACACCTCATGCCAAAAGAAATGCTTACCTATAGTGAACAGATTATATAATCTATCATTATTTTGACCACTTTCATACTCAAAGAATGAAATAATCTTATAGTTAGAAAAAGCTTTGGCATTTACTGAATTCAACCTTTATCAAATACATAAGCTCATTATAATACCTCTGAGAAATGTATCCAGTCTTGCTTGAACACCTTATTCCAACAGTGGCATCTGATTTGGATAACCCAAACAACTACTTCAAAAAAGTAAAAATCGGGCACCTGGGTGGCTCAGTTGGTTAAGTGACTGCCTTGGGCTCGGGTCGTGATCCTGGAGTCTCGGGATCGAGTCCCACATCAGGCTCCCTGCTCAGCACGGAGTCTGCTTCTCCCTCTGACCCTCCTCCCTCTCATGCTCTCTGTCTCTCATTCTCTCTCTCGCAAATAAATAAAATCTTAAAAAAATAAAATAAAAAAAATTTTAAAAAGTAAAAATCAAGATTATTTTAGAAATAGTACATTGAGGGACACCTGGGTGGCTCAGTCAGTTAAGCGTCCGCCTTCGGCTCAGGTCATGATCCCAGGGTCCTGGGATCGAGTCCTGCATCAGGCTCCTTGCTCAGGGGGGAGCCTGTTTCTCCCTCTGCCTGCTCTGACTGCCGCTCTCCCTGCTTGTGGTCTCTCTCTCTGACAAATAAATAAATAAAATCTTTAAAAAAAAAATAGAAATAGTACGCTGAATTAGTTCAGTAGTTCTACTTTTTAAAGAGATTAAACTTTTTTACTTAGTATTATTTCCCAACTCTGAGCTTGTGTTCTTGGACAATATTTTAAAATTAGTGATTTGTTTGCTTGCTTTTTGTATGCATATAGATATACACAAAAAAATTACTGAGCATCTACTATATACATGGCATTAGGCTAAGTTCTCTGGGGGCAATAAAGATTTGGGAAAAAATGTGCTCCCGTCTTGCAAGAGCTCAAAATTGACTGGAGGAAACACCACATAAATATGGCCCATCACATATTGTGATGAATTGGTGGCTTTGTTTTTCTCCTTTCTACTTGTCTTTATGTAGCATAAACAAAACTAATTTCACTTTAAAAGTTTAACAACTCTCATATATTGCTGGTGGGAATCTAAATTAGTTCAACCCTGATGGAAGGCAATTTGGCAATATTTATCAAAATTACAAATGCAGGGCGCCTGGGTGGCTCAGTTGGTTAAGCGACTGCCTTCGGCTCAGGTCATGATCCTGGAGTCCCGGGATCGAGTCCCGCATCGGTCTCCCTGCTCGGCAGGGAGTCTGCTTCTCCCTCTGACCCTCCTCCCTCTCATGCTGTCTCTCATTCTCGCTCTCAAATAAATAAAATCTTTAAAAAAAAAAAATTACAAATGCATATGCCCTTGTGGTTCTTT